GGCAAGCACGGGGTGTGTGCGCACGTGTGTAAGTGCGCGCGTGTGTTTGTGTGTGTGTGTGTTTGTGTGTGTATGTGTGTGTCGGTGACAGGGTACGGAGGGCGTGTGTTGAGCCTCTGGCAGCACAATTCAGTGCAGTTATGTTACGGCTGATGCCCACTCGTGCAAGGGGTGCGGCGTTGGCGGGGGCCGACGCCAGCTCGCGTCTTCAGCGGGCGGGCCACACGGCGTGCCCGATTCCCGGACGCACAGGGTTGCGGCGCCTGCGCGCAGCAGGTCCGCGCCGCCGCGTCGCATCTCAGCAAGCGCGCTGCCCCTCCACACATTCTCAGACCTGACCAGGATGGATCGAATGCAACCCCCTCTCTCCAGACCTGCTTCGCAACCCTTTGAGTTCCTGCGCCGCCCCGCTGCCCCCTTGCCCCTGTCAGCGTCCCGCTGGATGCTTTCCGCCTGCGCGTGCCGGCCGACGGCGGCGCGCGGCTGCAGGAGCGGATGGCGCACTACCGGCTGCAGTGGAGCGCCAAGAAGGTCTTGGAGGTCCTGGACAGGTGGCGGGCCGCAGGCGGCGAGTCGCCTTTGTAACCGCCGCAACCGCCGCCGTCTTCCCTCGTCAGCGTTCGCGGGACGGCGCAGCGGGGTTGCTTGCGGGTGATGTCAGCAGCTGTATCATATGACAAGAACGTCGACGAGATGACAGGCCTAATTACAAGGGGGGCAAAGGTCAACGAGGAAGAGGGAGGGCGAAGAGCTTCGACAGCACGGTATAAAACAACCCGAATGCACAATCAAGCCATTAAAAGCGATGAGAAGTGAAAACGTAATCAGCCTTAGCCGCGACGCAAAGGGAAAATTTCGGCCCTCGCTCTATACGCAGGGTCGCACGCCCTGCCAGCTGCCCGACCGACAGCGGCACACGGGCGCGCGTCAACGCCGCTGCCGTCCCTATACATTCAATAGCGCTTCAAATGCGATGGCATCACCAGCTCGCGCTCACTCAAGGCCCAACGCCCCGGCGGCCCGCCCTGCCGGCCAGGCGCCACACTATTGCGTTGGGTAACCCTGTCTCCCACGGAGGCCCCGGGCCCGGCATGACCTCGGGCAACGCTGCTTGCGAGCGCATCGCAAGGTCTCCAAAAAGGTCGCGCCCGCACCGCATGGACCGCTTCCGTCTCCACCTCCCCGACCACCAGCCCAGCGCACCGAGGCCGCGAGCGCGCGGCGGGCGGCGTGGAGCGCCCCGCGCGTCTGTCGGCAGCGCGCGGCCAACGGGCTCGGGGCAGCGTTTACGGCCGGGGGCAGCCTCAGGCCACCTTCTTTGGTTTGAAGGGGTCGGCCGCAGCGGCCGCCTCCTCCTCGTCAGCGTCCAGCTCAGCGCTGATCTCCTTGATGAGCTCATCCCTGTAGTCCTCAAAGTCGCCGTCGTACGGCGTGATCTCGCCGTTGTCCACGATCCACACCTGTCGGGGCGGGGCGTTTGAAAATCGGGGAGCCGAGAGGGTGGGCGGGCCGCTGACTGGACCGGGGTCACCGGGCCGCCTGCTCTTTCGAGCGAGGGTGGCGTGGGAGGGTCAGGCCGCGAGCCAGCAAGGACGGAGACACGACGAGCAGGCCGCGCGCCGCCGCAGGCGTGACAAGGAGCGGCCACGCGTGCACTGTCACCGCAAGGCACGAGGACGCGCCTGGGAGCGCTCCTCGTCTGCGCAGAGCTTTGAGAGCAGCTGCGCGTCGTGGCTGATGACCACCACGCCGCCGCCAAACTCCTCCACCGCGTCGCACAGCGCGTCGATGGACTGCGGCGCGGATTGTGTGTGTGTGTGTGTGTGTGTGTGTGTGTGTGTGTGTGTGTGTGTGTGTGTGTGTGTGTGTGTGTGCGTGTTGGACCGCAAAACAGGCGTGCAGCGCCGTCTTTCAGGGCAGCGGGCGCCGTGTGCGAATACCGAGCCCGACTGCTCGTTTCTGGCTGCGCTCTGGGATCGGCGACGGCTGCACGAAGGGGGCAAGCTCAACCCATTGCATCGGCTCCGGACGCAGGTAAAACTGGACCTGCGCCTGCCGTATCGGGGGCCGGCGTGGCCACGGCCACTGGCGCGACAACGCGGCGCGGAGGAGTGCAGCACATTGAGGCGAGCGGGTGCGCGGCGCGGACCTGCATGTCCAGGTGGTTAGTGGGCTCGTCCAGCAGCAGGATGTGCGGCTGAGACAGGCTGATGCCCGCAAACACCACGCGCGCCTTCTGGCCACCTGGTGGGAGGGGGGGAGGGGCGGGCAGGGCGGTGATCGCAGGAACACATGCTTTCAACAGAGGTGACGACGAGAAGCACGACAAAACTGCCAGTCGCGCTCCGCCAGACTCCGTCAAACTGCACCAAGCCGCTGCAATAACGAGCAGGTAGGGCCTTTCGTAGATCTTATCACACGCACACGCCTGCCAACGGGCGTGCGCACGTGTGCGGCGGCCCACCCACCCGACAGCTTGACGATGGGCACGAGGTGGTGGTGGCCGCTGAGGCCAAACTTGCCCAGCATCGCGCGCACGCCCTCGGGCTTCAGCCCAGACTCGGGGTACCTAGGGGCATGAGGAGAGTCCGAGGTTGCCGAGGTCAGCGTCCGCCCGCCTCCGAGGCGTGGCGTTGGCGACGCGGGCGGCAGCGGCGGGCAGCCCATGCGCGCCGACGCGGCACATGGCGGAATGACGGGCCCGGCGGGTGCGAGCCAGCAGCACCCTCAAACCCTACTGGCTGCCCCCAGCAGCATCATAACAACCCTTGTGCAGATGCGTTCTTGCACCAAAGGCTCCCAAAACCAAATCCTCCCAACAGGAACTGAAGCCATCAGCCCGCCACCCACTTAGTCATGAGGTACTCCACCGGGTTGACGTCCATCGACAGGGCGTCCACAAAATGCTGGTTGTACCGCCCGATGCGCAGCTTGGCGCTGCGGCGGCTCTCGCCCGCCGTCGGCTCGAGGTCGCCTGCGGGCGATTTGCAGCGAGCGGCGCTTTATTGCGCGGCAGCGGGTGCGGAGGCGGCAGGGCCTGGAAGTCGCAGCAAGCGCTCTGGAGCTGATACATAAAACCTGGCATGTGACAGTCCCTTGCTGAGGCAAAACCGGCCTGGAGGAAAACAATTAGGACCTCAGCAGGCCGAGGCGTGCCCAGCGGTTGCGCAGGCCCCAGACGGCCCCTGATTCTGCAAGCGCCGCCGCGCCGCCCACCGCTGAGCAGGTTCATGAGCGTCGTCTTGCCGGCGCCGTTGGGCCCCACGATGGCGACGCGGCTGCCCATGTCGATGCCGATGTTGACGTTCTTCAGGCCAAAGTCGTCGCGGCCTGGGGATTAGCGGTGCGAAAAATGCGCAATTTGGCAGATTTCGGCAGCGGCATAGGCGTGAACATGCAGCTCGTGACCCACCCGTCGCCTGTGGGAACGCTGTCCTGGAACAAAAGCCACTTGTGCACATGTGCGGACAGCTGGGCCGCGCGTTGGCGGCCGGGACTCCCCATTCTTTGCTGCTGCTGCCCCAGAACAACCCGGCCTCGCTGGATCGTCAGCAGCGCGAAAGGCGGCCCGGCGTCCCCGAGCAGCAGCAACAAGCGGCCCGGCGCTGTCGAGCGGCGGCAGAACGCGGCCCGGCAATTTTGCAAAGCGGCAAAAGGCGGCCCCGCGGCGTGCGCACCTGGGTACTTGAAGTCTGCGTCCATGAGCTGCATGAGGCTGTTGCTGCCCAGGTCAGTCGGCTCTGGGAAGTGGAACTCCACCTGGTAGTCACTCCACCTGGCAGGGTGGGGTTGAGCATTTTGTGTGAGTGTGTATGCGTGTGTGTGTGTAGCTTTGTCGTGTGGGCGTTGTGTGTGTGTGAATTCTGTGTGTGTGTGTAAATTCTCTCTCTCTGTGTGTGTGTGTGTGTGTGTGTGTGTGTGTGTGAGTGCGTGAGTGTGTGCGTCAAGGAGGGAGGTGGGGCCCAGAAGAATAAGCACGTTGTTCCGCACATGGCGGCTTCGTGCTGTCAACGGCTTCAACTGTCCACCCGGCCTGGGAACCAGCTACTTGGCGCGACCCGCAAGGCGGAAAACAAACTGACATACTGACATGCAATCGGTGTGCGATCCAGGGAAGCGAGAGGTGAAGCCAAGCCTGCAAGATCGGACACGCCCAGTGTGCAGCAGCGGCTGCAGTCACGGCAGCGCCACGGCGAGACGCCACCCACTTTTGCGGCGCGCTGGCAACGCTGGCGCTCGCCTCCTCGCCACCCATGCCGTCGCGCTTGCCCTTGCCCTTGCTGCGCTGCGCCTGGGCCCGCCCGACCTGCGCGGGGTGGGGTGGGG